ATAACAAAATAGGCATAAATCATTGGACAAGTAACTTGCTATAATAAATTTTTATATACATCCGATAACACCACAATAATGCTGCCAAAAGCGGAAGAAAAAAGCACCAATTTAAAACGAACTTTTAAAAGCATACACATACACAAAAAGTGGCACAAGCAATCAAATGCATTCGAAAAATAAACATCATAGTATAAACCTCTGAAATTCCAATCTTTAAATTTCAGAAAATTTCGTTATACATAACGATAACAACGATCACATGTATGGTTTGCTGAGGTTTTTTATTGCTTTCTTTTTTTTCGCTTTCCTGAAATAAACAACAAAAACAATAACAAGAACAATATTAACGTCATCGGCATCGTCACCATTAACAAACTATTAAATTCTCCATCCCCTCTCCCCATAAGAAAGGAAAAAGTTTAATAAAATCAACCAACTACAACAACCAAATATTAAATTACTCCACACAAACAATGCAGCCTTTATAATTAAATTTTCCAAAGTACTATCAGAATCTTAAAAAGAAAAAAATAAAAAAAATAAAGAACCCAAAACAATGATAGAGCGATGAAGAAGGAATACAACCCTGCATGTAGCAACTGCAAATTCCCCAACCAACTTTCTCAGCGTACACTGAGTGCCAAACACCAACAGAAAACACTGCGGCCACACGGCTGCTGCCTCGCCACCCTGAAGCATTTTAAATACTGCCATAACCTCAGCGGATTGTTTCATTTTTTTCTATTCTTGGCAATTTGCCAGGCGCAGACAATAGATGAGCCAAAAAAAATGACAACAATTGCCGCCTTCCTTTGTCCTCCCCCACTTCCTCTCCCCCTTCGTTGTCCCCGGGCGACTGCCCTTCTCAACGAATATGCACTACACAACAAATAACTCAGGATTTTCGATTTTTGTTTCCCATCTTTTTTCGCTATAGCATTCTTATCTTCATTTTTTGTTTTTATTCTTTTTTTTTTCTGGCACCATTTCCTATGCTCCAGTTTTTCAGTTAAAATCAAAATGAAGTAAAGAAAGAACAAAACCAGCAATAGCTTCTTCGAAAAGTGCTTGTTTAGTACTTTTTTTTTTTTTTTTTTTTTT